TAAAAAAGAGACAGGAGACATTAATACATATGTACGAGGGAGAGATTTCAGGAGCACTCTCACCGTGATTGGCCTCGGTCGTGACTTACCTCATGCCTCACGGTGGGTTCCTCGATTCCTGGTGTTCCTGGATTTGATGATAGTGTGAGACGGTCCCTCGACCAATACACCAACGAAACCAAGAGGACACACAGGGGCACGCACTCCTTTCAGATGTTCTTTATCTTTCTCAGTCTCTCAACCATACACACAACACTTTCCGACTCCTTCCACTCTTGTTTCCCCCTCGATGTCGTCCTCCTGTCCCCCCTCAATCTCCTCGTTCTGTCTCCCTCTCTTTTCTCCTTGTCGACGATTCCTTCCCTGTTTCACCCGCACCACTTGTGCCACACCAAAGTAACCACTGAAAAATCCTGCTCCTCCTTATTTTTTCATATATTTTTTTTTTTCATTCACCTTCCTCTACCCCCTTGAAAGCCCTTTTTATTTCCTCCCGTTTCTCTTTTATTTCATCTTCCTTTCACACAAGATTCATGAAGACGTTTTACTCCTTTTCCTTTATTCTCGGGCCTCGAAACGACTCTCTTTCACCTCTCGCCGGGCCCAAACGTGGCACACAAGTATTTTATAATCCACCATGCATGTGTCGACATGCTAATTCATCAGATGTAGATGACCAGTCAAATTGAAATACTGATTGGATCACGACAGGATGGTGAATCAAACACCGGGGGTTATCAACATGAGGAACAACTTGGGCCAACAGTTGGCGGGTTGTTCCTCATAACCAGCAAACACGATGGCGACTACCAAACAACCGCTGCAGATTACCTGGACATTTGGATAGAACTTGGTGAACGGCTAACGGAATGACCTCCGCTCTTGCGCCAGCGCCTCACACACTTGGTCACTTTTTTTTATTTATTATTATTATTATTATTTAATCTACCAGTTGTGATTTTTTTTCATTCACAAGCGTCACACACTCGACCGTACGCGAACAGTCTGACTCCTGGACTGTCTTTGCCTGGTATCTCTCTCGGTCAACCACCACGAGACACCAGAGCTGTTGCCTTTGTCTGTGTTATTTGCCACTGTGTGCATGCTTCAGTTATAATTGCCGCGATCGAAGATTACTGGTCAGAAGTTGTGGTGGGGACGAGAATTTTATGGTGTTACACACTCGGTGGGGATACCTGGTTGACTGGCTTTCTTCGGTTGCCACCAGTTTACTCGGTGGTTCAACATCTCTGTCTTCTCACCAGACCCAACTAGTGGCTCTCTTCGTATAGTGCATCTACACCAGGGGGCAGCATCTCATTGGATAATATTTTACCCGGGGATATTTTGAATTGTCAATCATATTGTTCATTCCAGATGTTCGAGTACTGGTTTTCGTATCACAGGGGGATATTCATTCATTGTAAATAGTGACTGCTTTTTTCAGGGGTCATTGGAATTTTCCAATCAATTTTGTAATCAGAGATGTACTGCGATGAAATTGTGGAATTCAATGTCAGCGATTTGGTGCTGCATAAGTGTTTTGCAATGTGAAACAGTTTTGGAAAAATGAGAGCACATGTCGAGGAAAAATATTTTTTTCTACTGGGAAATGCTGGGGTAATGTCGAGCGTCATTAAAAATTATTCTATTCTGAATTAAACAAATATATTCAGATAAATTAAGTGTTTGGTAATTAGTGGATTGATAGACTCTCAAGTGTCAAATTAAATTAAATTTTAATTAGCTGTAATTCAACGATTCTTTCTCAATTAAATTTTCCGAATTAAAAATTTTCCAGGAGTATTTAAATGTTCCCGCGTGATTCTCTGGTGATTGCCGCTAACGTCGAGTCACAGACCTGCCATAATAATCGAGGAAAAATATGTTGGTACATTTTCTCATCAACAAATAAAGAGAATTGTCAAAAATGTGGCAGTTCAACACGTGGCAATGCACCAGTAGTGACAGGAGCAATTACAATTAAATTGTATTGAATTTTATAATTGATGATCTCATTACTATTTTCAGATACTCCATTGAAAAGTCCAACGGTAAATATCATTACATAAAATTCCTTCAAGCTCGTAAATCCTGAAATTCTCCGGTGAAAATGTTGAGCCTGACATGCAGATTTGGATACAAATTTTATAGTAAGTTACGGCTCGAATATTTTTTCAAATTCCTCCATATAATTTCGATACTTAACGTTTTTTCTGGTTTGATTTTATTCTAGACATGCAGAATGCCGCAGATTACCACTACTACAGTGAAGAGACATCGATTATCCCCGAAAATATTACGTCAACTGAAATAATAGCGATTTCCTTTTTATTTCCCTCAGATAAAATAATGAAGTTACTTTCCGATTGTATTAATTCGATAGCCTCAAATGAGAAATCAATACAGTGAATTATATGTATTAAAGGTTCGATGAATCCCATAAATATCATGATGCAAGAGTTGTATGCAATGTGTGTCATGTCAGTCTTTGGTAATATTAAAATACCTCGTGGATTCACTCAATTGAACTCAGACTTGTTGCATAAATTACCAACAAAAATTTCGTATCAACGATTCCCAACGATTGGAAATCGCCCCGAATCATAATAACAAGTATACCCCACGAGTATTATATCGAGGTTGAAAAAATGAGCAAACAATGCGCTCGTAAAATAATTTTTCTAAACACATCTCTCAGTACAATGTCGGCGGTGAGATCGCTCTGGGAAGATTCGCTGTTATATACGCAATACAAGCCCAGGTATGGTTCCGCGATATCGGTATGCATGAAAAATAGACCAAGGAATTTATTCCGTATCACGATACAATATTTTTCATCACTCGGGGTAACGCGTGAAAATTTCTTTCCCCCTCGAATTTATATCCGACGAAAATGTTGCGTTTGAAAATGGAAATATCAAGATTTCCCCGTGGGTTACGTAGAGATACATCCCAGTGTGGAATCCTCAGTGATTGCTCGCTATATACATTCTCGAACAGGTTCACCGCAAGATCTTTCCCTTCCGGCAGGTGCGATAAACTCTTACCTCTCTCTCTCTTATTCTCAGTACAAATACTCTCGTAGGTACATCCACTGCACTCACTATTTTCACTCCAAGTTATTCCATGCAGAATCTCAATCTCCGTCGTGCCAATTTTCCACTCTAAAAACGTCCTCTAAAAATTGGGTTAAAAATGTTAATTATCTCATCGCTATTAGATACATCAGCCTATTTCGCCACATAACTGGTATTACGTGGACCAATTTCGGATAGTCGTATAAATCACAGGGAGATTGAGATTTGAATTGCAGAGAATTTTGCCGGAGGCCTTATCTCAATATTCAGAGGAGAAATTTTCGCGCGCAAAAAAAATCATAAAGAACGCCAACGTATGAGTGAATCCCTGTTTTTTTTTGTGGTGTCTTAAAAAGTGATTGATTAGGTTCACAGGTCTATTTACATTAAAAGCTTCTCCATGTTGACTGAAACTTTCATACCACGTCACTTTCGTTGGGTGTGAAAGTAGTCCGAAAATGCGACCGATGTCACCGCACCGGCGAAATGAAATAAATAAAAAAAACATATACCCAATTGTAAAATAAATGGGTGTGATTAATCCTCTAGAAAGTCATCCATTGAAATTAAAATAAAGGAGGGATTAATTAAATCATCGCGTGGATTGTCGGCGGTATTTTTTTCTTGCAATTTTTTATCCTCTCGTCGGCACCTCTAGAGGCTTTCCTATTAATTAAATTACAAGAGCACCTCCGACGATTTCGTTTAGTTATTACGTCAACAGGTACCATGGAAAGGGATCTGCGTATTATACGCAGGAAGTCACCTGGGGACTCTCCCTCGATTTCTGCAATATCTCGACAGTGACACGCCATTTCGATCCTCTCGTCCATATTTCCTTTCCAATGTTGTCCTTTCACTTTTTATCGAAAGACAATTACGTTAATATTTAGGGGAGTTTGGGGTGATGTGGACACGGGAGTCAATAAAATATGTTAATTAACAACAATACTAACAATTTCACGAGGCGAGATATTACGATGTCATTACATTGTCTTTAAAAATATTACAAATGAAAGGATTATGATATGAATTGTTTACTGCGCAGAAGTACTGCACAGAAAAAATATTGCTGCCCTCTATTATTTTTTAAGCAATATCCCTAAGTGTAGTCGATGGCTGTGATTTGCTTGAGTGAGCTGGGGATTACTTTAGTGTACGTTAAGAAATCGATGTATTTGCGTACAATAATCAGTACTGTCTGAGGATTTCTGTGAATTTCATTTGTCATTCGGTCTGTGATGTGGAGAATCGATCGGGAGAATCGAGGCGTCGGTCGTAACGTAATTTTGTCATTTGAAATATTTAAAAATCGGTAATTGAGAATTATATACCAAAAGAGAGGATTTATTCTATTTTTCTTTGTTCGCGTGATATTCCAAGTAATTTGTGTTTTTTTTAAATATTATTAGCTATTCGTAACATTTTTTGGTTGAGATTTTTTGAGACAGAATTTTCAATTCCGCCATTTTGATTGGCAGCCTTGAAAAATCAAATTCATATTTCATTCTCACGTACAAGCTAATTGAATAATAATAATAATAAATCCGGGTTCTAAAAAAGGTAAAAATTCCAGAAAACACGTTCAAAATTGATTTTTAAAAATTGGTCAGGCGCAAAGGGTGTGTCTGACAAATGAAAATAAAAAAAAATGTGTCCATCATTCCGTCTCCGGTAATTCGTACGATGTATTTCATAAATATTGTAATTAAATTGGACAATTGGGGGTGCATTGTCGAGTCCGTATGGATAATTCTTATGAATGAAATGCCGACCCACGTGACTCGATAAATAAGTCGAAAGCCGGGAAACAGTTGAAATGCGATAAAGTTGAGTGACGGTACGCCAGGTGTCGCTTAGTCCGTTGGCAGTGGCGGTCTGGAAAACACCTGACGATCTATACCAGTGCGGCATGGGCCTGTGTACCATCAACTTCTTCAAAACACTAGTAGCAACTCGATAAACAAGACTATTTACCTTCTCCCTGCACTGACGTTCAGAGAAAACATCATCAAATGCACTCTTTACGAGTGTTCAAGTTCCACAAGTTCTTCACCGAGTGCCTTATCGAAAAATTCACCGAGTGATCCACCAAAACAATATCAAAATGATCAAGTAAATAGACAACTAGTTATCGATATCCCGTGGTGTTTTCAATTAAAAACTCATACCCGTGGACATGTGTCAGTGAGTGTAATGACAAATCGCGAAAATAATTGGGAGTTAAAAATGTAATGAGCGAATTGTGGATTGTTAAAGAGAGTGAAGCTCCTGAGTGAGCTAGTGTTTTCTCTTCTGCAATTAGAGTAGGGAGTTATTTATGAGTGTCAAAATGCTGGTAGGACGTGTGGTGCTTGGAGCAACGGTATTTCTACTGGTTATTGGTGATACGACGTCTAGGAGTCAGCTGAGGGAGGAAGGTGCATCAAAGGACCAGCAGATCGAGAAAGGTAAGTCACCACAATGAAAAAAATTTTCTAAATCATATTTTTGAGTTAGACTCACTGCAATAGTCCGGACTATTGTGAGTGACTGAAGGTTATTAGAGAGAAGGGATGTAGCCACCTCTGGATCGTAAAAAAAAAAATCTCTGGCTGTTTTTTTATAATGGCAGAGTAAACGCTAAATCGTGAATGGTTAGCAGAGTTGAGTTGGTGTAAAAAATAGATTGTCAGTGAACGTCTGAACTTTGTTGGGGGCTGGGGAAAACATGAGGGCACTCTTAGCATTTGAGACATTGGTAGTATTGAAGGTATTGAAGGTATTGGAGGCATTGGAAGGATTAGAGGTACACGATGGCGGCCTTTGCTCTGCGCCTTCCCCTCTCGCGTGAAAGTATCTTATATATTGCGTTTGCAACATTATTCCACCGAGATTTAAAAACACTATTCAATTGAGTTTTGCTATTTTTACCGTTGAAACTAGCAAAACCATCGAGTTTCACATTTCTCCGTGTTAAACAGAATGAACGAAATTTCTCAATAATTTTTTATCTCCCATTGAATTAATCTTCAATTTCCATGATGGGAAAATTTTTGTTTGAAAAAATTAATGGTGCATGATCCATCCTCGTCGGAGGGTATCGTACGATAAATTGGAGACACAAGGCATGGGGAGTGGTATTTAGAAATTTCAAGAGTATTTACACGATAAGAAGTGGAAGCACTTATTAAATTTCACCCGTCGGTTAGAGCGAACCGAGGCGAAAATAATAATGAATTGACATGTTATGTACTGTGAGTAGTCCCATCCACACCTGATGCTTTCGCAATTACTTGAGGCAATTCGCATTGATAATGATTGCCCATCAATGTCGAGATGGTGATGATGGGAGTGATCATGTTCGTGGGAAAAGGGGAGTAACAATTAGGTTGGGGATTAATTTATGAGCCCGAGAGTATAAGATAGGCGGAAAAAGTCAAGCTGATAACGATGGGATAGGTTCTTATGACATGGAATGTTGAAAATTTAATGTTTTTTCATCTGAAAATTTCAAGTTTAATTTTTCAACAGTGTACATGGCAAGTGGTCGGTCTCATTGCAAAATTCACATGAAGGGGAGGGCAATAGACTTTCTATTGACGTGCTAAAACAATCGCTAACTTGCCAACTAATACTTTTATAAATACTAAACACACATTCAAATCAATTCTTTACAATGCAAATTAAAGTCTAACACGCGATGAGAATAACAATTTTCATTAGAATGAAGCTCAACCTGAGTGCCACTTGGTGAGAAAAAAAATTCACTGTCGCCAGAGTGGCGGTTAAGGATTGTTTTTCAAGCTCCATCTATTCCACGTAGTCCCCAGGAACGTGTAAGACGTTCCCGGATCAGTTCCACAAATCATCTCCATGCATATGGATAGTCCCTAGCTCAGAACAATACCTTAACTCAATGCTAAATCAATTTACGCCCGTGGGAGAAAAATTTCAATTCACGTCAAACAGCCCACCCCCTCCCACCTCCCTCGATACAATAATTAACGACTCAGAATGAAATTCGAGTTTTATGGCTCATGAAAATGATGATTCATTGAACCGTATTATTATGAATTTCTTATTTCGAGAGAAGGAACTAAGAGCTGAGGAAAAAAAATATATAATTGACGTCTTTATCGTTGCCCAAATGGAAATTTATGGTTTGGCTCTCGGCGATGATCAATAGGTGCATTTAACGAAAATCAGGAGTAAAAAAGCATTGGCAAACAAAAATTGTTTTGGCAATTAGGGGAGTCTATTGTCAGTGCCTCACTATTTTGGATCGTCATCATTTTTTTTTTCTGCACCAGTCAAGCGTGAAAATTTATGAGCCAAGTGGAATGTTGATTGCACCCCCTGCCCCTTCTCCCTTTCAACTTCCAAGTTAATTTCTTCAGACGGCTATACTTAAGGACATTAAGTTGCCGAAGGGGTCCTCCTCCGTATTATACACGCTCCCACCATTCTACCCCACTGTTATCTTCGCTACTCTTATGTCCCTCGGTGTTGATACATCTTCCATTATCTTCCCCAATGAATACTCACCGCATGTTATTTCTTTCACTCCCAAACATAGTTTATCTGCGAATAAAAACATTGCCTTACGGAGAAATTCAGAGCTCTAGGTGATTTCCCATGACTAACAGCAGCTATATTTTTATTTCCACCGAATCACGTATTTTTCTCCCGTTCCAACGAATTTATAATGACCATAAACCAGAGGTAATCACCTCGCCGATAAGAAAACGAGAAAAAAATGCCTGATCTGGTGGTTCCAGGGAATGATGAATTTTAAACGTGAATGAGATATTAAATAATCGGAAAATTAGTCAAAGGAAATTCTCGTGTATTTTTGCTAGTGAGAATGCAGTGAGATAGGGAGTTTATCGGTCTGCTTATTGCGTCAGGTGCGTAGCACAGGTGTGACTTGTTTCTCTTCCATCCTCCAGGCTCGTGCAACAACTCATCTGGTTACCATTATTAACCATAAAATAACAATGCTACCTGCAAGGTGCACTGAAATTCTCTTAAACGAGATAAATCTAAAACGGAAATGAAGTTAGTCTGACGACGCTATTATTGACGGCATTGAAACCGCCACCTGAATAAAAACTAAGAGCTTGCATAAAACAGGAGAGGAGCATTATTCCTTGAATTATTCTCATTTCCTCTTGTATCAGGCAACCATTGATGCCCACCATCAAACAGCCTTTTGAAATGAAGTAAAACTGGTCTAGACTAGTTTTCCCATGTATAAAAATGTTAAAATAGTGTATGGAAGAAACATCTCGAGTGTCTCATGACATTGAATCCTATGGGCTGATGGTTGTTGGCTCTTCTTGCTCGCATTCCGTGCCCTGACCACGGTGAGACAGTCGTGCGTTAACCAAGAGGGATTCCCAAGTGTATATCGTTTCTCCAGCTATCATCTGCCACAAGAAGCATGCGATCCCCTATATTTTTATCTCTCATTTTTATTTACAATCTCAAGTAGGAGAACAGCAAGTAGAGAATCCTTGCGTGTCCCTCAGCATTTTCTGTCCATTTGTTTTTTTTTTCGTCTTGCGTTGAAACGTCACGGATTTTTTTTCTCTCAAACCAGAGGCACCGATAAATCGTTTCTTCTTTTCTCAGATGTCATTCATCTCCACCATTTCCACCATGTCCACCATCTCTAGGAACAGCATCAGTCTATCTGAAAGTTGAATTATAGATCGGAGTTTTTATTTATTCACTCTAATTAGGTGTTGGCCACTGGTGTATTGCCCTTGTTAACGGATATAGTTCTGCATTTTATTAAAAGCCCACAAGGCGTAACGACTGATTCTGTAATGAGGATGCCAGCTAAATGACGTTTCCTCCAGACTATTTCTAATAATCCAACTCTGTAGTTGTAAATAACGCATATGCGTGCATTAGTATTGTTTGTTGTTGTCTGTAGGTGTGGTTGTAGTGTAGGTGGATTAGATACAACAGCTAAAGTTGGTTGAAAGACTACAATTCACTCTCGCACCTAATTAGAAAGTTTCTCCTTTCCTGTGTTGGGACGGTAGCTACAAGTACATGCGCTTCTCTAAATATTTTTTTTTTCCTTCGGCACTGACTTCAACATTCTCCATAAGAAAATCACTGTTCGGCCATTTTTTTTCTTTTTTTTACCATCCGCTGTTGATAATTAAAGACGAGTTGAGTGATTTTTTTTTTCTTCTCAGTTGTGAAGGGAAACAAATGGTTTTGCTTTTATTGGCGTCGTGCTGGTAGTTAATTTGAGAGTTTTTAAATGAGTCGAGGTAAACGTCCGACGAATTCCAATGCTGGGTATAATCGTCTCGAGTGGATCTGGAGCACGCTAAGACGTGAGTAGGAGGTCCGGATAGTACATCGAAGAATGTTAGAGAAGGGCTGGGGGATAGCCATCTCCATGGTTGGATTGTCTACTGAACCACCAGCCCTGAGCTCCCATAAGCTACCAAGATTGATCGTCACCATCGTTACTCTTGTGTGGTGCATGTCCTCAGGACAGTCACCTGTTCTCCAATAGTGATAAAGAAACTTGTTGTGAAAAAGAAATATTAATGATCCAGTGGATCAAAAATCCAGGTGTTAGGACCCCCTGGTAATCTCAATAAATGCGAATCAGGGTGATAGATTGGGTCTAACAATCACCAATATTCACCAATATTCACTGAGTGGCTGGATGATCGGATCCAATTTACTGGACACAAACGCCAGCGATTACATCGGCTCAAGCTGGGGTAAAATAAGAAATATGAGGTATATGTGGTTGAAGTGAGGCGCGCGTGCACCATCTTCAATAATACCGAGCGCTGAAGGGAGATAGTTTTTGCTTGTATGCATTATAGAATCTCACGGGGCGAATCTCTCGTTAACGCTGGAGGTCAACGGGTTATGTCTATCATATTGTTCAGATGCTTGTAAGAAACGCCGTATCCGTAATAGCCACGCGGTTGAACGTGCGCTCATACCACCACTTTTTATCCCCTTTTTACCCCCTCGTGTACATCTAAGATAAGAGGCTCAGTAACCAAATAAAGGGGTGGAGATAAAGCACGAGGTGGAGAATACTCGGCCTATCTGTGTTTCAGATAAATAACCAAATGAAAAATTTAACTAGGTGGGTTGTAACACCTGCTTATAGAATTTATATCAATTTACCTTCATCCATTTGAATCATTAAATCATTTATCTACATCGTTACTGCGTACATCTGGTGAATTATTGTCGGAATTACGACAATGGTCTGGTGTTTTATTTGAACGGACGTGACGATGTGATTTTTTTTGACAATTGATGGTCTCATAATTCTGGAATATATTTGTCCGGTGGAGAAAAGCCCTTGAGAGTGAATGGCTTGGTAATCTGGAGAACAGAAATCACAAATGATGATGAGACTCGACGGTTTTCGAGATAATGGAGAAGGTGGTTCAGCTGGTGGCCCACTTGCATG